CTATACTGTCAGTTTGTGACATGATTGTTCTTCCTGGGTCTGAGGTGCTAACTGGACATAACTTCCATGTGGCGCTCCCTTGTGTTCTTCCTTGTGTTTTTTTTAAACTGCTGTTAATAAGTGATGTAATTGCTCTGTATTCAGACACAGTCTTTTAATTTTTATGTTTGGCTTTTGCTTTTCCCACGGGGTAGATTTAATTACTTGCATAAGAAATTGATTGTTGAGTGATGTTAATTTAAAAAAAATACAATTTTCCCTTCCCACTACCTTGGTAAGGCAGTGATTCCTTGGTATTTCTCTTAACAATGAACACATCTTTGTCTAGGATAACCAGCAGGATAAGGAGTGGGTGGTGTATTTCCGGAATTTGCCAGAGTCCCTGACTTCACTGCTGGTCCTGCTGACTACTGCAAATAATCCTGATGGTGAGCAGTCTTTCAGAAATAACTCTTGTCTCTCCTTTTGAGGAGCAGCAGAGTAAGATTGCTCTGTTCAGACTACTTTAACCTTTCTTTCAGTTGATGGTTCTTAGTACAGCCAGAGGAAGGTTGTGCAAAAGTTTTTCATGCCCTTAGTAACTTGATTATTGTCTTTCTGTGGTGTAATTATATATGCCAGTCTAAAGTCCAGCTGTATGAGAGCTTTTACCAATTGCCAGAAGTTCATAGAGGTCTCTACTGTGCATCTCAAGCATTAAAATATTATTTCCTGTTTTTTTGTTAAATTTGATACAGTGATGATACCTGCTTATTCTAAGAATCGAGCATATTCAATCTTCTTCATCCTCTTCACTGTGTTAGGTAAGTTACCTCTTGCCTTCAGTAATGTCATGCACTTCAACTTTGACACTTGTGCATGCCATCTACAGTGTTTTATTTTTTCTAGGGAAGCTTAATAATCAATTTGTCCATTTTTGTGATTCTTCCAGTTATTGTGTAGTGTCTGTGAGATCATTTTCATGGAAGGTACTTATGGTTTGGAGTTTTTTGGTAACATGTTGCAGAGGAATGGATCATTGCAGTGTATTCAAACACTAAAAACGTTTTGGAAATCAAACACAAACTAACTCTCTCTAAGTTTTACATCTGATTTACTGCATACATTGAGAATTCTTTGAGAAACAGATATTTTTCAGTAAATTTTACTGCCTCTTTTTCTTCAATAGGCAACTTGTTTTTGATGAATTTGCTTACAGCAATAATATACAACCAGTTTCGAGGGTACCTTCTGGTGAGTAAAGCATTCCTAAATTCTGTGGTCTTCCATAACTTTGAACCTTTGAAGAATTAAATTTCATCTGTGTATTAAAGGAGGCCTCCCACTCTGGTTGCAGATACAGTTTTAAGGTACTAAAAGTTCTTTGATGCAGATACTTCTCCCTTTAGATGCTATTACAGCTTGATCCCCTCCTGTGACAAAATGACCTGCTAGCATATTTCCAAGTATGCTGTGAATCTGCAATTTTGACTATTATAGGGACGAAAAAAAGGAACTGTTATATGACTGAACAAGGACAAGTTGCTGAGTAACTTAAACTTGGTCTGTGTGAAGGAAATCTACTGTGCTGTTTAAATAGCTGTTGTTGCAGATCATAGAATATTAAGGGGTTAAAAGGGACCTTAGAGATCATTCAGTCCCAACCCCCCTGCCATGGACAGGGACACCTCCCATTAGACCAGGCCTTACCCAGACTGGCCCATAGCTGTTCTGGTAGAGTTCCAGAGAGAAGGTGAAGTTTGTTGAATAATAAGCCCAAGGCAATATTACTTAGAAGGAATGGCCTCCCTACCCTCTGTGGCAGAGGAATGTATAAACAGAATAGGTGCAGAAAAGATTTTTTTTGGTAATCCTTTCCTCCTCTGTTTCATCCCTTCTTTCTTAATTCTCTTCTTTCTTACATGACTGCATGACGTAATCTGACTAATAAAGTAACTGAGCTTGAAAGTGATTAAAAAAAGCAGGAAAAACCATAGCTCTGGATTTGCACTTTTTTCTTTTGCAGAAGCTGGAGTAGGACAAGCTCTCTAACTCTTCTGTCTGCACACCAGCATGAATTTCTGTAAATGCTTGAGCTTTGCCTTTGCCAGTGTCTCTGGAAGAGGCGTATGCCTATGCACTCCAGAACTGAAAATAAGCCATAACCTGGATGTTTACTTCAAGTCCAGGGAGTTGTTTGCTTACTTGCTTCCTTCCTTCTTGTACATGGAGTTCTTGGAGGGAGTGTGGACTAGGGCAGTCTCCTGTTCTGATCTCGAATCACAAATCTGGGATGTGTGCCCAAGGATCAGTATATTATCTGGCCATAGGACATAGTAGTACCTGAAGTGTGAGTAAATTGTTTCCTCTGTGGTGTTTTTACTGCTCAGAAATCAGTTCAGTCCTCCCTCTTCAGGAGGCGGCTGGGAATCCGGGCTGCATTTGAGGTGCTGTCTTCCCTGAAAGAGACTCCTGCTAGTGCACAACAGTAAGTGAAGGATCTTGAAACAGTAGATTATCTAGCAAAAAAAAAAAAAAAGAAAAAAACCCAGTAGATTTTTGGTAGTCTTGTTTTGTTTTAATGTATTTACTGGGGATCCGTTCTTGAAAATGGCAGTTTGTTGCTCATCTCATTTATTTATTTTTTCTGTAACTGTATGTTCATAACACACTGTTTGTGACTCTTATGGAGTCTGTTTCCTTTTTTCCTACTTCTAGTTTTAATTGCTTTTCAAAACAAAGAGTCAGGAGCACATTTGGAACAGCTCATTTTGCCATCTATAAAGTTATCTGTAGCAGGGCCCATTCTGTTTTCTTTTAAATAGGTGCTGTGTGAGTGTTGGGGCCTTACTACAGGTGCTGCAGAAAGCTGAGATGGATTCTCGCTGCAAGCAAGCCATCATGAGAGTAAGAACTGGATTTTCTTAGTCTTAACGTTGGTGATTATCAATCCTCACTGGCAAGTCCAGAGATCAGCCCTCTGTTGCAGCATTCCTTGGATCATAACAGAATAGTGGCACTACTACATGGGACTAAAAATTTAAGTTAGTTTAAAGAGTATGTGGTCCCAGAGAGGGAAAATAGAAAAGGCCAGACATGTCCTCCAGTCACTTGGCAGTGTTGTGTTAAAGCAGAGCAATATTGAACTTTACTCAGACAGCTTGAATTACATCTTTATTCCTAGATTTCCAAGGTAGTCTGAGGGGTTTTGGCAAACTTTGCAGATGTTCCTATTGCACATGTTAATCTGAATGTTTCTCTTTCATGTGAAGTCACTCAAAATGTGCTCCTGTGACCAACTGTCAGCTGCCCAGTTCCAGAAGCTCTTTGAAGAATTAGACAAAGATGCCATTAAGCAAGTATGTATGTGATCATCATTTATAAAGCATCAGAAGTTTTCTGGTCTTGTGCAAAAATAAGTAAGAGTACTCTAGTACAAAGTGTATAAACAGACTCTGCAACATGTGAACACAAGGTGTGATCACATGGCATTGGTTTTTAAGCTTTTTGTGAGTTGCTTTTATGGCCACAAACAAAATTGCTCTGAGGGCTTTTAAGCATTAGTTTGGGATTGCTAGGTGGTGTTAAACATACAAAATGCATCTTTATTTATTCTGTCAGCATTTTAAAGTGTGTTGGTCAGGCAAAATAGCTCAAAGTCTTTTTTCTCCAATCTCTGAATGAAGAACAAAATGTGGATTCTCTCAGTGTTTAGGTGAAGATGGGCAGAAAACAGTTTTCTCCTCTTGGAGAAAGAGAAAAAACAAATCACAAAAGTATTTGAGGGTTAGGAAATGTTCTGAATTAAGTGTTGGGAAATGGGGCAGTGATGTATACAAATAGTAGCTTGGTGTTTAGTTTATCTGCTTGGGGCATTGGGGAGAGGTTGGATTATCTGTCTTCTCTGCCATTACCACGTTTTGTGCCATAATCAGGAATGGTCTCTTGCTGCTAATAGCCACAGCTGGAAAACATTTTCCAGATGAAATGTCAAAATTAGCCTGTGGCCCTGAAGTTTTGCTTTGAAGCTGTCTGGGGTTTTCAAAATCTGAGATGGGGTGTGTTTTTAAAATGATTTTATTATTTTTAAAATGCTTATGCTTTGTGTCTCAGCAAATCTTTTGTGTACTTTTCAGCACCCTCCCAGTCCAGAGTACCAATCCCGTTTTATGCAGAAAATGCAGTTTGCCTTTGGCCATCCCTACTTTGGCTACTTGGGGAATGTGGTAGCCCTGGCAAACATTATTTCTATTTGTGTAAGTAAAGGGTTTTTTTTGTTGTGGGGTGGTGGTTTTCTTTCTTTTTTTTTTTTTGTGATGGTTTTTTGGTTTTTCTCTACTACAAATATAATTTCTGCTTTTGTTTTTCCATTTTTCTTTAAATTGCTACTTTTCTAGCAGTTGGGTTTTTGGCATGCTTTAGTCATGCCAAATGTTACAAGGGAACACTTGAATTTAAAAATGTACTTTGAGCCACTTGAAAAGGCCTATGCAAAGCATGAAATACTGTTCTTGTGCCTAAACATCTGTTTAATGTAGCAATAGAGGAATAGATTAATAAAATATTTTTTTAAAGGTGGTTTTGGTGATGGATGCAGATAAGCAACTGTCTGAAAGAGATGATTTCTTCCTGGGGGTAAGATGCAACAATATTCCATGCAGTTATTGCTGTTCCCTGAGATGTCAGGAATTCTAATGGTTGTTTTTCCTTTGTGGGGATGAAGGCTATCAACTGCTTCTTCATCTTGTACTATCTGCTGGAAATGTTGCTGAAAATCTTAGCAATGGGCTTGAAAAGATACTTATCTTACCCAAGCAATAGATTCGATGGACTTCTGACTGTAATTTTACTGGTAAGTGCTTTGTTAGCTTACACATTCTTGGGTTTGTTGGCTAGAGAGGTTAGGGAATTAAAAGAGCTGGTGGGATTACTTTATTTTCAACACTAATCTACTGAGCTGAGCAATGTGAGCCAGTGTTGTGGGATGTTTACATGGTGGTACATGGTTCTCTTAGGTTCTGAAGATAGGCATATTTAAATCCATGGGAAAGGTGCTTTTCCTGATTAGAAACCTTTTAAATTTTATTTGGAAAAAAATTGCTCTTGGAATAATTGCATGCGGCATTCTATTTCATAGTTTAAAACCACTTTGCTCTTTAAATTTAAAAATAAAGGTTAGACTATTGTAATAATTATTTGGTCAAAGCCTGATGCCCCTGTGGCAGATGAGTCGATGAGGTTAATGTTAAACACTGTATATCCTTTTATGAGTCACTATTGTATGCTCTATGTACGTTTGGTTAGTTTGGAGAATAACTGGGCAAATATGACAGTTCAGGACTTTAAAGGGAGAAGAATTAGTGGCTTAGAGCTCTTGAAAGTGTTTCCTTTCAAGAAGCTTACATAACGTCTGGAACTCAGAATTACAAAGTAGAGTTTTGATTTTGGTTTTTGTTTTCCTTTCCTAACTGAAGATTCTGGAGATTGCAACTTTTGCTGTGTATGGATTTCCTCACCCTGGCTGGTGAGTAACCTCTGTGACCTGCTGCCCTTTGCTCAGGGTCAGGGGAACACACACAGTCATATATACAAATGTCATGATGCTGTGAATGTCAGACAAATCTTCAATTTACCAAATTTGATATAATTTTGAATCCTTGTAGTCGTTAGAGGCCATGCAATATGGATAAGTGAAAAAAATTTTATTTTTTCCTAGTGTTTTAGAGTTCTGTATAGCTCTTCTGAGAAGCATGCATTTGTTTTAATTGTAATCTCATTTAAAATAATATCTTGGCAGGTCTGTGCTTACCAGGGGTGCAGGAGTGGGAATTTGGTACAGCATACACATCTTAATATGTTTCAGTGTGAGATTGTCCATAAATCCGATTATATGAACTTCCAAACAGCTGATAAAATTTCTTCAACCCTATATGTCGATTGAAGGCTGAGGTTTTGTTCATGCTATAAAATGTAGTAAGAAAATTCCCATAGACTTAGACTATTTGTCTATATTGTAATAGCAAGCAGTTGTATTTTGATTTTCTTAAGTTCAAACGGCTTTTGGATAACTATCCTGATTTCTTTTTTTGTTGTAAAAAACATAAAAATCATTGCTTCATCTTAAAATTTGAAAGCTGTCCCCACAAGAAGAGAGGAAAGCAAAGGAATTCTGGAAGTTTTCCTGGATCTTCAGGGGTGATTCATAACACATTCTGTTACTTTGCATCTTCATGTAAGCTCACACTTAAGACCCTGGCACTCCCTGATTTTTCAGGATATTTGTTATGTTGCCATCAAGAAGTTTGGTTAATTTACACTGGAAACTCTGAAGAGAGTTAGACAAGTCAGACCTTATGGTTTTAGAAGGGTTTATATTTGAATATTACTTGTATTCCTATCACCCAGAAGTGATGGTTGCCAGAAGAGTCATTGCTGCAGAGAAATGATGTTAATTATTGATGTTATCATTATGTTTGGGTTTGATTCTGCCCTTTGATTCTTAAATGTAGGCAATTGTTTGCTCTATCATCTTGGAGCACCAGTAATTCTCGTTAGGCCTTTGTTGTCAGTCACTGCAAACAGATTACCACCCAGATGAGTCACTCTTGAGTCCTAATGGGTGCTGCTGCCACATCCCCAGACCAAGCAACCACCACCTTCAGGGCAGGACAATGATGTTTCTGTTATCTAGAATATACCTTTTGTGCAGTGTTACCTTAAATAATTTCTTTCATTATTGGAGATGAATGTATTAGAGGTAGAAATCATGATATAGCATCAGTGTTACCAAGGGCCTTTGTAATTAGCAGCTTTAGATCCCCACCACCTGCCCTCCTTTCCAGCCAAGGAGCATTCAGGATGCTCCTGTAAAAGATAAAATTTGGGGCTGGGGTTTGAGGTGTGTGCCTATCTCCCATGGAAGGTTAACACATGAAGCAGAAGGTTGACGAGACAGTCCTTTAACCTAGTGCTGTTTTCAAAACCCTTCTTCAGCCAGGCACACCCTGAGGGATTAATGCCCATCTTTGTGCAAGTTCCTGAAGTATCTCCCTCCAGCAGTCCTGCTTTTGATTCACTTTGTTTTCTGAAAGGACTCTCTTCGGTACCTCCTGCCCAGCAGAAGGCACAAACATGCATTTTAAAGAGCTCTCTGTACATATTTAAGACCCCAGGCTAAAGGGATTCCTTCATTCATCAGTTACTAGTTTACTGTAGCTGAGACTCTTGCTAAATAAATCAATGTATTTACAATTACCTGTAGCCCAGTGGATTTAACTGTGTCCTCCTGTCATGGGCTGTTCCTCTGATGTGTTCCTCTCTTCTGCCTTTCCCAGGAGGCCTGAGTTCATGGGCTTGTTGTCCCTGTGGGATATGGTACGGCTGGTGAACATGTTAATTGTGTTCAGGTTCCTGCGGATTATCCCCAACATGAAGGTGATTGCTTTTCCCCCCCACAACTCGGATTTCTTTGTTGGTCAAGCTACAGATTTTATTAGAGCCTTTCAGAATAATGTGTGGGTTGCAATTATCTTGCACGAGTGGAATAGCTCAGCTCTAACTGTCCTGATTTTTGCACAGCCCCTCACAAAATCACTGTGTCCTGAGCTCTGGTGAGGGAGCAGGCAAATTCTCTTAATGTGATTCTTTGTCCTTTTAGTAAAAAAGTGGTATGGATTTGTACGTGTGATGGGTGTCATTCATACAAAACTCTGCTCTGTTTTAGTTCATGGCTTTGGTTGTTACTACACTGCTGGATCTGGTGAAAAACTTAAGAGCCTTTGCAGGAATCCTTCTGGTAAGTCATGATGCAAGATTGTAATTTCCTTTGTTACAATTATAATTAGGAAATATCACCAACAAAGTTAACAATCACCAGGAGCAGTCACATTCCACCTTAACCAGCCGGTTCTTCTGGGTGGGCATGTCTTGGAAAGCCACAATAAACTGCTTTTTTTGATGGCCAGCACACAGTAGCAGTGCCTCCTTTAGCAAGAGAATCTTTAAAAGATTGATTAAAGCTTCTCTTGAGCGTTTGCCTTAGCTTGGGTAGTGTGGATTCAAATAAAAATTAATCTATGCTAAAAGTAGACCAGTTTTCCTTACCCTGGTTTGCTTATATTAAATTAAATAGCAAAACAATTTAAAAATTATTTTTGGCTGAGAAGGTCTTGAGGTGGCATGTTTGGACATGATTTTTTAAGAGCCTCTGCCATCCTGTTTTAGGTGTGTCTGTGTAGATCATACACTCAACAAACATGATTAAAGGGTGGATCACAATGTATGATGTCCATTACATAAATTCTCTCTACTCTTGAGTTTCTGGCTTTGCAACCATGTCTGCCTGTTAGGGCAAAGAAGTGACTGGGTAGATTTGTTTTTGCTGTTGTTCATGGATTTTTGTAGGGTACCTTAATTTGAATGGTTAAAGATCAACGATTTGTTGTTCTAGTCTATATACCTAGTATGCAATTTAACCAGAATATCTATTTTTGTCATTAATAATCTCTTCTTTTATCTGTAGAGGATAGGCCTTCAATTGGCTTATGTTGCACTTTGAAATAAAGATATTGGTTCGGGCAAATCTAAGGTGGTAAAAACCTCATTGTACTGTACAAGTCACACTTCTGAGACAAGTCTGCCTCTTGTCTGTGGCACTGAGACAAGTGTTTGTCCCTTCCATTAATTTAATTTGCTTTTACTTGAGGCTACGTGGAAGCTCTCACTGAGTTTCTCCTGCAGTGAAATCTGACTCCATTGCCAGCTGATAAAAAGTATCTTTCCTAATGTTAGCCTGGAACACCCATGCTGATAAAATAATGTAACTGATCAGCTAATTTCTCAGTCAGTGAGTGTTTTAAATATATCTTTTTTCAAAGAATAAAATTAAATTTCGTTGCCAGGCCAGATACCCCATCTTCTGGCAGGCTGTGAAATGTCAGCTTCAGCTTACTCCAGTGGTGTTCAAAGTTCATAGGCCAGGACAGTTCTCTTCTTTTCCTTCCGGACTTGCCATTCTTGGGTTTGTTTTGTTGCAAAATACAAAAAAAAAAAAAAAAAAAAAGGACAAAAGGACTTAAAGGACTTTTTGTTTTTGTTTGAAGACTCAGCTTACTTCAAACTTTCCTGGGATAAATGGCTCCTTCTCAGGGAGATAAAGCTGTAGATTATTTCTAGAACAGTCTTTTTAGGATAAAAATTGCAATATCACCTAGGCAACTGCTAAAGACTGAAAGGTGTCTCTTTAAAAAGAAGTTTATATTTCTAACAATTAAAAGACAGAAGTTCTCAAATCCTTTATGTTATTGAAAACTTTAGATTAATTAACATCTTTTAAAGAAGTTGCTGATGGAATATAAAATACTGATACAGTTTTGTCTTTCAGGTAGGCTTACTAAAAGCTGACACTAGGAAAAAACTCCTCAGATATTTAGGGTTTTCTTTGTAAATACTTGTACTGAGCTTTGGTTTTAACTTGCTATTCTGCAATGGTTATAGTTAAATATCACCATTCTGAGACACAGAGAAGTAAAACAGATGATAAAATGATTTAATACATTTTAACAACTGAAAATTAGGTAGAATATTAAAAAGTAAGAGCAAACATTTGAGAAGGATTTTCATTTTAGAAGCTTCAGGCATTGTTCTTAATGCAATTACCTTAACTGTGGTACTAATGTAAATTCCTTGTTAATTGTATTTTGCTTTCTTATTTTGTGACAGAAATATTCAAAGCTAATAGTTGGTTGTGCTCTTTCCAGGTGGTTTTCTATGCATTTGCTATAACTGGTATAATGCTATTTAAAGGTGCTGTTGTTCCCTTGGGAAATACCAGGTAAGATTCTAAACATCTCCACTCAGAAAGAATCTGTTTTTCAAAAGCATTTGCAACTTTTTACCTCTGAGCTGTTTGTGGTTGGTTTTGTTTTTTTTTTTCCCTCTCATTCTTGGAGCCACCCTACTTTTAATGTTAAATCCCAAGGCTCCATTATCTGTTACTCCTTCTGTTTCTTGCTGCACTGAAATTGCAGGAATGCTTATCTGTAGCTTGGAATTTTACCCTGCTTTATCAGAGATGCTTTTTTTTGAATTGTGTCCTGTGTTTTCTGCCCATATGAGATACTCTAACTTTCTAGAAGGGGCTCAGAAGAATTCTAAAGCAGAGTTCACAGGGAGCTGTGTTCACATCAGCCTGTAATCTCTTGCAGTGCTGCCAACACAACACATGACAATGGCACTCTGCAGTGTGGGACCTATGAACAGCTGGAATATTGGCCCAACAACTTTGATGACTTTGCTGTGAGTCTGATTATGGATCAAATCCCTCCTTCTTCCCCTTTCTGCTTGTCTTTCCTCCTCATTTTTTGAGGCTTAAATCTGCAGTACAGCCACTTAAATGCTGTTCTGCTCCTGTTATTTAGGCAGCAGTGGTGACCCTCTGGGATGTGATGGTGGTGAACAACTGGCAAGTCTTTTTGGATGCATTTTCAAGATATGCAAGTCCGTAAGTAGCTGTAATAATAGTGAAGAAATCCCATATAAATCCAGCTTATAATGTACCTGAACAAGAAGTATATGCACAGCACAGTTCCTGCCATCTGCTCAGAGGGGTGCTCCTTACCTTTCTTTTGGACTAATTCAGGTATATAGGAAATAAACCTAATGCTTTTGTATTTTCTCTGTGGGTGAACAATTTTTTGTAGACTTGAAACCTTGGACTTGCCATTCACTTGTATTTAATGACTTCATGAGGAATGTTTGAATGAACTGGATTGTGCCTGGGTTGAACTGTTCCAGTGACCCTTGGCTGGTTAACCCAGGAGAGTTAGTCTGTTTGGCTAACTTAATGGAAAGCAAACATTTTTTATTTTAAGTTTTTTGATCCAGGCCCGTTTTTCCATTAAGAAAGTAGTAGTATTATATTTCAAGGAAAAAAATGTGATTTCATGGTGCTCTGCTCACTTTCAGGCTGATGTTATTTACTGCCTCCTTTATGCATTGTCTGTTCATCTGATCTACAGGTGGGCAAAGATCTATTTTGTAGCCTGGTGGTTGATCTCCTCTGTCATCTGGGTTAATCTCTTTGTAGCTTTACTTCTGGAGGTAAGGAAGTGTTTTTATTTCGTGTGAGATCCTGAAAATGGGTTCTAATTTCTGCAGGAAATGAAAAGAACCCAGGCAACTTTATGTTGGATTTGTGTGTGTGCTTACTTTACCTTTCTCCTTGCTGTCCTATGCCCGAGGAGCTGAGGAATTGTTTTCTTTTTCTAGAGAACTATGTATGTTTTATTTGCAATTTTGTTACAAAACTGGTTGTGTCTCATTGGGTATGTACAATTTCAATGTATCACTCTGTTTATTACAAGATGAGAAATATTTAAAATGTTATAAAATTGCTTGTGTCTTGTACATTACCATTTAAATGCATCATTAGTTATTCAAGCTGCAGGCTTTTTGCATTTTAATTTGCCAGCAAATGAAGTGAGCAATTTAAATTTAAAATTTTTACTTTATTTGGTTCTCCTGTGTTGCTTCCCACTCTAGTCTGAATTACCACCACTGTTCAGTGCCACGCTAGAGGAGTGGAACTGATTACTTATTTTCAAGAGATCAAATTCTAGAGTTTTTCAGAGAAACTGTGGGAATGCAGTTGCCTGAGCAATGCCATGAAGAACATATGGTTCTGCTAGTTACTCATTGCATAGTTTCCTGCAAATCCTAATTTCTTCTGGAAAAGGGAATGCTAATCATAACCATGTCCTCCAGGTTCACCATTGTAGACTTCTCCTATAGGTAGTGGAGGGAGCTGAGAGCCTGTAGAGGGCACTTTACCCCATCTCAAACCCGGTGAAAGTTTCTTTTGGAGATGTTCTTGACATTGCTGACTGTACTGAGAATTATAATTTACTACGGTAGGAAAAATGGCAAACTTTCAGTCTAGGACAGCTTCTACCTGCTTGTTTCAGCATGGCTGTGGCCAAAGGTTGCTGTCAGAGCCAAGATGCAGGATTCCATAGCAGAGAGCAGGATCTCACTGTTTTTCTCCATTCCTCCCCCTGAGCTGTGTGCCTACTCCCTAGGTATTCATTTGTCAGAGTTGCTCAGAATGGGTAAGGGAACATGACAAAACCTGGACTTGCAGTATGTTGATATATTGTTGGGTTTTTAAAGAGGAAAACATTCAAATCAGGTGAAGTCTTGTGGGTAGTTCACACGGCTGTCTTGGGGAGGCAGTCCTTGCTAGGAGCTGAAGGCAGCAGGGCTGTCTTCTGCTCTGCTGTTCTTTCAGTTTGTGATGAGAAAGTTATTTCATTGCTCAACAAAGGCCTGAGTGAAGCAGTGACTTGCAGCAAGTATAGAAGCTCATGCCTAAATAAATCAGTGTTCACCATGTGAGAACAGAACTCGCCCATCTCCCAAACCTTACCTGCAAACATAGTAACCAGATAAAACTTCTTTTCTGGTGCCATCAGTAGAAGCCTTTATATTTTTTGCTGTTCTTTTTACGTTTCAGAACTTTATTCACAAGTGGGACCGTCGCTGCCAGCGAGAGTCTCTTTCAGATATTGAATACCAGCGGACAGTTGAACTCATGTTCAGGTGAGTTGGGCTGGACTTAATAACCAATGTATTTTATTTTTTCTTTATATGTTTTAAAGAAAGTATGCTGGCTGCAAGATTTGCTTCCTTCCTCTAAAGTAAAGTGTTTCATTTGTTAGTTTGGAGAAATCCAGCAAGTGCTTTAGTTAAGTATGCTTGTCTTGGTAGCCTAATCTTTATATGCTTTGTGCTCATAGTAGGACAGGAGAAGAGGTGCTGGGGGTGAGGGGAACAACTGCTGAGGGAGGAAAAAACAAGGGAAAGAAGAAAAGGGAAGATGAGGGAAGTGATGCATGTTCTTGGCTGATTATGAAATTGTGGGTGGTGAGTTAATACTTGATGATCGTGCATTAGTGGAACTTGTGGTGCTTGTTGGATACTCAATAGTAGCATTGGGAGCATGTTCTCATTTGGGAGTTTTTTCAGGAAAACAAATCTACTGACCTTCAGTTGTATTGTACTGTGTGCAGGAAATTGCTTCCCTGCTTCTTATGGGAAAACAGCTGCTGGTTTCCATGACACATCTGTAGAGGATGGATCACTTGCAACTAGATGCATCTTTAGGGAGCATCAGCTTATTGTAATTTTAATTCCTTGTTTCATTCCTGAAACAAGCACACGTTACATCTCAGTGTGTGCATTGCAAAAACAAATGCTGGGAAGCTCCCTTTGCTGCCCCTAACAACTCATGCTTTTTCTTTGTAGAGATGTTTTGGAAGAACCTACAGAGGAGGAGTTGATGGAAAAACTGCACCAGCACCCACACCTGCAGTTATGTAGGTGACTGGTGGGAAGGACTGATTTATTTAGACCTCTGTTTTCTTGAGGTTGTCAGCTGGAAGATACTGAATGGATTTTCTGTGAGATGCTGTTAGGAGAGGGGCTTGTAGGACACTATGTGAGGTTTTGCTTGGGAATTCTCTGCAGAAAGTTTTTTTTATTTTGGGTTCATATCTTTTTTTGAAAAAGATTTGAATCCTGCTAACTTGATTTTAAGTTGCAATTTTAGAAGGAGTATTGAAGCTGTTATTTTTACAGGGTGTTGATATCAGAAGGTTTTATTTACTTTTTTTTAATAGGGAAAGTCTCTTTAAAATGACAATGCACTTTAAAACATGAACTTTATAACCACTAAGCCTGCTACTTTTTCAGCACAAGAAAATGGAGCTGCCTTTTCCGGCAGGCAAGTGTGGCAAGGGCTGTGCCCTGCAATTCATGAATGGATTAGGCAGGACCAGAACACAATCCTTAATCTTCTTGTAGTGAGAGCTGAAACACTATTTTTATTGTAATGTGACACCAGCATATCTTACCAAATTTTCGGGAATTAATCATGTCGGAACACAATCAATTCCAGCTTAGTAACAGGGACTGCCTGCTTTGCACATCCTCTGTTTTGCTTTGCTTTCCACGGGGGGTTTGTGCTGGTTCTGCCATTCAGGTCACTGAGAAGAGTTGGAACCTGGACTGGAGCAATTGCACTTGTGGTTTTCAATGTGGTAAAACTGAGCTCTCTTTCAGAGTCAATATTCTCATGTTGCTCTTTACTAAACCTCTTCCTTTTACTTTTATTCAAGTCCTGTTGCACACTGTGTTGTATTCCATGAAAAAGCTAAGGGGAACAGTCTTTGGCTGGGTTGTTGTACCATCATTGCTGTAGTCACCCACTTTGATTATCCCATACAACCTTTTTTTCCCTTTCCCTCTTAAAGTGCTTAACAGTTGAAAAATTAATTTGAGCCTGTGGGAATTGAAGGTGCTCAACCAGTATTGCAGGATCACATTCTTTTATGGCTTAATGACCACATGCTGTGTACCACTAATTTTCACCTGGGTAAAACTTTTTGAGTAAATAAGTTTCTCAACAAATCCAAAGTGGAGGATTCACAGTAAGCTGTGTCCACATGCTTTTTGTTATCCCTTGGTGTTCCTTAAAAAGGTGTTTTTGCTTGAATCTATGTCACATAACTGGTAAACTGCTGTGAAGAATAGAATCTACCACAACTACTGTTTTTATATGTAGAAATGAAACTGCCCTTTGGGGCACTACCTTCTCATTGAGACACTTACCACCAAAATAGACATTATTGTGGTCATCTCTGTATCAACAAAGGCTTGGGGGAGCTAATTAGCTACTCTTTATAAGTCCCTTGTTTCTTTTTTTTAGTTAAAAAACATTTTTTAAAAGTGCCAAGCAGTCATCTTCTGTACTTTCCTTGTCTTTCTTCATAATGTGCTGTTTCTCTCTGTCCTGCACGAATGAGAGCAGAATACCCAGGATGATGGTGTGTTTGAGGTCAAAACCATATTTTTGCCTTGTCATCTCACTGTTCAGAAATTACTTAATGATTCTTGTCTTTCTTTTCCTTTTTGCTTGTATTTTCTTTGTGCTGTGGAGAAAAATACGTTGTAGCTTTCATATGTGTAGAACAAATGTGAGTTCTGAGCTACTCCTGCAGTCTCTTTGTTTCTGTGATCCTGCCTCTTAAGCCATGCCCTTGTCTGTGTGCAGTCTCTTGTCTCTGTTCCATATTAAGCCACTCAGTAACTCACTTGCACTGGTTTCAGTGGCATCATCATGTGTATTTTCAGTCATGCACTTAAAACACTTATCATGGCAAGCCAATAAAGGCATTAGCACACGGTTTTTCTAGTTTTGAGTTTGTTCTGTTCAGGATGGTTTCTGTTCCTTCTAGCATGATGTATAATCACTGCCACCAATGTATTGGAATTTATTACACAGTGGTTAAACATTCTTGTTTTACCTTTTTACTGCAAAAAAAAAATTTTTTTTTTTGTTTTCCACTCTTCTGAATACTTAAAGCAGCTTTGCCTTGCCAAAAAGAAAGTGTCCAGTTCTTACCAGCCTACAAGTTTGATTTTTTTTTTTTTTTTTGCCTCTTAAGATTCTTTGGGGTTTTGTGGTTGATTTTTTTTTTTTTCCCCCGTTACATTACACTACAATCTACCAAAGCAACACAAATTGGTGTGGGATTACCATAAACATCACAACTGTCTCCATTATGCCATCTTTCCATCTGGACAAATGTGGAGAAGGCATTCTGAAGGGAATAGTCTTTCTTGTTCTTGTTTCACATTTGTGTAATTGACTGAAATTGTAACTAGAATTTAGTACAAAATTGTGCTACCTTATGTCACTTGAACTGGAAGATGTAAATGACCACGAATCTTATGCAATAATTGTATAAACCATGAAAATGAATGTATGTCATTAGGTAAAATTTGAGATTTGCATTATTAAAAAAAGTTTTTCTTCTTAAACCATGAAAATAATTGGGGTGTGGAAATGATTCTTGTGGTTTGTTTTTGCCTTTCCCTTGCTACTGATTTCTGCAGTGCTGGACATCTGTTCCCATTGTTTTTGCCAGTTAAAGGCTAGGCCCATGGAGGAGCTTTCATGCAAGTGGGATATAAGTGCTTGTTTTCAAAATAGCAGACCTAAAGGATGCTGCTCTGTTATTTTCCAATTCTAGAGACACATAGCATCCTCTGTAGGTACTTGGCACACTCACTTTTTAAGGTGGAACCTCATTGGAACCGGGCATTGATGGTTTTGAGCAGGTTGATTTTCATTTGCATTTCCATCTCTACAAACCAGGTATTCCTTCATCTCTCTTTTCCCCAGGAGATCAGTGGAAAGGCATTCTCATAGAATTCCAGCTGGGGCAGATTTTGCATGTAATTTAGCAGAGTCCATGATATTCTTTGGTAGTATGTTCTGGTTTAGAAGATGGTGGGGTTTTATTAAGGACAGAACAAAATCAGTTTTGGAACAAGGTGATGTCTCTGTCAATGGTTGTTGCAGATGCCTGGGTGCAGCATGTGAAAGCCAAAGCAAAGAGGAGATCACCTTGTGTTATTAAATCAGGATCAGACTTTTCTAGCTTCTGAAGGAAGACCTTAATCACTTAATTAAGGTTGATTTGAGATTCCTCATAGTTGTTTTTTTTTTTCCTTCCTGATTTGCTATGAATTTTTACTGCTTGAAGATCTAGGAGTGGAGGGAGAGGAAGGATTCAAATGAAGTGTTCTTGATTCTTTTAGTAAAAATACAGAACTACAGTGTTGAACCTCACAGGCACACTCAGCTATGAACTTGACACATTTGGGGGATATTGCTTTGCATCTCTGCAGTACTTCTTAAAGTGCAGAAAAAAAATAAAAAAGGACATATAAAGCTAGAAGAAAAAAGAGAGCCTATAGGAAAATGATGCAGGATATAGATAAGTTACCTTCACCTCATGTTTCTACCTTGCTAGATGGTTCATCTTTTCACCTGTCTGTATAATAGGGGATTAGTACAGGGTGTTACCACAGCTCTTGCAGTTTAACATTGTGCTTTCATCAGATCCAGTCATTCCAGTGCTCTGTCTTGGGGTTTTATTGAGAACAAAATAAAAATAGGTGTTTGTCTATATTGTTCATGTAGGTGTTTTTTTTTCTTTCACTAGATTTTTGTCTAATTAAAAGGGTATACAACTCTTGTGAGTTTTCCAGAAATCAACTGGGTTTGACTTAATCTGAAGTCTTTATAAATATGCAGAGCCATTTGTTTTCTGAATTCCAGGTAGGAATAATTTGGGGTTCAAGGGTGGAGGGGTAAAATTGGCTTTGTAGTCCATCTCTTAGTAGTATACTCTATATGACACTGTTTCAAAATGACTTTGATAAACAGGGGGAAATAGCCAAAATGAGTGAAGTAAAACTTAAGAGATAAATATGTACTGTTACAATTCATCAGTACAGGGCAGGGAAGAAGTATTAGAATCAGTATTAGAAGATAAATATTATGGGGCTGATAGCGTACTGCAAATTGAATGAGCTAACAGCATCTGAAAGAGATCAAAAAGAATTGCTTTGCTGTAATTTGTAATAGTGCTTCCCTTTGTATCTTTCTCTGTCCGTTTTGGGCCCTGCATTTTAAAGTAAATAGTTGGGGGAAGGTGTTCATTGCAGGACAATAACAGAGGTCTTAAGACATGAAAGGTGTGAGTTTAGAAGAACTTCAGGGTAAATAATTTGTTCAGCTCAACAAGAGACAGACAAATACTTTTAAAAACAATATTCAAATATTCTTTTGTAGTGTTTTGTAAATGGTTGAGGGGGTGAGCTGTTGTAATCTGTAAGCTGTGTCATCACTGTGCTGGTTGTAGAGCAGCTGTAGTTTGGATTTGAGGCTGCTCCTTAGCTCAGAGCACTGTGTCTGGGAGGGAGCAGACTCGCCTTTGCTCGAGAGCTGTTTTAGGAGGGATTTGACAGTCACCTGCTATGGCTTTGTCTGCATGTTTGTGAACCTGCCCCTCATGGTGATGGCTCAGCTGCTCCCTGAGATCCTGTCCCGCCTACCTCTGTGGTTTTGCTGGAAAGAATTCCCGTGGCTGTAACAAACCTAGCTTTTGTTGTTACAGCATTCCACAGTTCTGCTGGATCTAGCTAATGGCTTACAAATGTTTACAGTGTGCAAGTGTTGTACAAGTAGGGATAGCAAAAACAAAATTATGCTCCTTCAGCTTCCCATTATACACAGGAAGATGAGCCTGAGTTGTGTGTGCTGTGTTGCTGATACTTGACCTTGCTCTAGCTCCCTGTAGTTCTCCAGCAGTTCACTCTGCTGGGTTCCTTTTAATCTCATTTCTAAATCCCTTAGCTTTTTGGGCAAGAAGAGGGCATGTGTTGCCCTTCTCTCAGTTTGTGTTGGCTCACTGACAAGCCAAGTAGGTCGGATAACTTGATTTTTCCCTTGATGAGGACACTTAGTTCGGGCACTCTGCTCTGACTGCTGCCAGATGTCACCAAATGCATGACACTCGTACCTCTCACACTTCAGCTCTTCTTTCAAACTTAATTTGGTGAATGAATTCAAAAGTTATTACCAGGGGACTGATGCTGCATAAATCCTAGGAACGATTAGAAAACCCTTCAAAAAGTAAAGATGTAGTAATTAATCTTAATTTTACAAAACCTTACCTTACCAAAGGCAATGATAAAGTGGTTAACAAAATTAGTTTTGTTAATTGAAATAGGTCTGATGTTTCCCTGGATCCAAGGCAGAGTAGAATCTGAAACCTTTCTTGATTTCTTTTCTGCACCCTCCAGACATACAATCTCTTTTTTAAAAGATAAAATAGATCATGAAGTATCTAAATGATGAAGTTAAGGTCACGGGAAGTCTGTTGCTAATTCAGGAATAATCACCAGATCATCAGACTTCCTTAATCCCAAAGTTCATGTTTTCATATGAACTCAAAACCTCTTCTATATTTGTAGAGCTACAATTTTCCCACCATAAAGTGAATGAAGATGGTCAGAAAAAAACAAAACCCCTCAAGGCTGAGCTGGCATTTTTCAAATACTAAGTACATGGGGATATGTCCAGCAAACTACTGGAAGAGGCAACTGTCATTATCTCCCACAGAGAATATGAGAAGAACTTCATCACTGTATAAAATGGAGTCACAAGGCCTAATAAATGCTTTTCAAAAGTGTCTTAGTTAACTAAAATTATTGCAATCCTGGAGGAAAAACGGTGCTGTGCATTTACCTCCACCATCTATGCAGTTGTTTGCCAAAGGAAGCAAAAGGATATCTTGTCATGAGCTACCCACTGTAAGGGAAAACCTAAATGTCACCTTTGATATGGTATTCCATCCATTGATGTAGTTTATTTGTGTTATTTTCTTATCTAGTCATATACTTTTTTTTGTTCCACAGTAATTGTATAAATTGTATAACACTGATGCTGTATTTCTTAAATGGAAGCCAGAGGCATTTGCAGCTTGTCCTTTAATGCTAGAAATCCCTTGTAACAGTCTCAGTCATCTTTTTCCCATTAACCAGTGGAGCAGGTGTTGTCTTTGTTCTGGGCAGAGACTTTCATAGACCCCATCACTGCAGTGAGTGCCTCCCAAGCACTCTTCTGAAAACATCCTGCTGGGATAGGAAAATATTGCTATCCTTATTTTGTAGATGATCAGCTGAGATATTTGGTGATCTGCCCACAGCCAAGCTTGAAATCCGTGGGAGAGTTAAGAATAAAACCTGCAGTCCCTGCTCACTGCCTTTGCTAACACACAATACTGGCTTCTTTTTTTTTTTTTTTTTTTTTTTTCACCAGCTGTGAGCTTCAATTGCATGTTTAGAAGATGATGTTGACTTTTTCACATCTATTGGTTTATAATTTTGTTGCTGCCTCTTCTTGTATATAACTTTTTAAATTTTGTTTAAAAATTAAAAAAAAATCCTGGAACCTCTAAACTTCTAACTTTACTTATTTCCTGTCTTGTCAAAAGAGGAGGAAGGACTGTTGCTGATTTGCCATCTTATTTATAAATATTTAGTAGGGATGAACTGAGGCTGGCACATGTGCTGGAAGTTTGGTAAGTGTAAGTAAACTGATAGATTCTGGTTATTAAGTCACTACTTCAGCTGTACAAACTAAAGGAAAAATACAAGGTGACCATCCTAAACAACAGCTCCAGCCTTCTGTTGGACCTGAAACACGCTTCAAAAATGCTTTTAGCCTCATGCTCCTTTGTACTTCTTGTATTTTGTTCTTGGAGGTGAGTGAGCAGTCTGACTTTTCAGAGCTGTTGAGTGCTTGCACCATCATACTGAATTTGGAAAACTGCCCAGGAGGCCACTTGCCCTGCACAGTGTCACTGGCAAAGGATCATCAGCGTTTGAAAGGATGGAGATTCATGTCAAAATAGAAGATTGAGTGCATTTTTAAGACTGAGTTCTGCTGTGTAGCAGGTGTGTGTGTCTGTGTAATGTGAAATACGACCTCTAATACAACCACAGGTCGGTGGGCTGGATGCAGAAATTAGAATTGAATTGTAAGGATTGTGTTACACAGCTTGTCACATTAGGTAAGACCAGAAGGGACTTTGATTTTTATGCTTAAAATTAGGGTTATTGTGTGAGATTCTGACTAAAAGCAGACTGGATTTGTTAGCTCCCAGGAAGGAACTGCTGTTTTGTGTCTGCTGCAAAAATGTAACACTATAGCATTAAACTGGGTGGTGGTGTAACAATGTCCTTGTACAATGAGCATCCTTCTGAGGCGAGCTGGGAAGCCAGTCTGGCCTGCACTGTGTTATTATGTTAGCCCTCCTTGCCTTTAGGAATGAATTGGTTCCTCACATGATGTGCTGAGCTGCTGACAATGCTGTTTTTTTTTTTCTTTTTAAAATAAGTACTGATCTTAGAAAGTAAAGCTTGAGTCTCTAATGTGTCTTCCCATACCTGTTTAATACCAGTGCGAGTAATCTTATATTTCACCAAAACT